CAGCACCAATTGGAAGACCTCACTAACTTTTGATGTATACCCAAAAAATAGGAAATTTGTTTTGCAAAACAATAACTTAATTATTGACAAACACCAAGCCTTTATCCCACTAAGTGGGCTAAGCTACATGAATCTTTTTTTCTCCATAGTGTTCTATCGAGAGCCATATTTTCATTTAATTCTAATAAATTAAGATAATTTTTTATACGACGTGCCCAAGTTTGCCCAAGTTCTTTTATGTCTACCTCTATCATTTTTAACATAAGTCGAATCTAAAACATCTACTTTCCTAATCATATCATTAGATGATTGATGTTTTATGTAACCAAACCATCTAAGCGGCTATCTTTAACCTTGCCTGCCACTAGAGCTACACCAACCCTCTCACATATATATTCGCTTCGGTTTTTCTCTAAGAGTCAAGTTACTCATCAGCCTAAGCATTCTCATCTCAACAACATTTAACATAGTTTTACGCTTCTCTTTTATAAGCCAACATTCTGCGCCATAAAAGATTACAAATCTCACACCATCTTAGAAATTTTTTTCTTTAAGTCTAAGCGGTACTTTTCTATCACACAAAGAGCTTGATGCATTCCTCCACTTCAACCATCCAACTTGAATTCTACTAATAATATCCCCATCTATACCATCATCACTTTGAACAATACAACAACAACAACAAAGCCTTAATCCCACTACATGGGGTGGTCGGCTACATGAATCCTTTTTCTCCATTGCGTCCTATTTAGTTTCATATTTTCGTTAAGTTCTAATAAATTAAGATCATTTTATACAATAAGCCTAAGTCTTACTAGGTCTACCTCTGGCTTTCTTAACATAAGTCGAATCTAAAACAACTACTCTCCTAATCGGATTATCAAATGGTCGACGTTTAATGTGACCAAACCATCTAAGACGACTCTCTCTAATTTTGTTTGTCACTGGAGCTACACCAACCCTATAAGGATATATTCATTTCTCATTTTGTCTCTAAGTGTAAAGCCACTCATCCACCTAATCATTCTCATCTCGGCAACACTTAACTTAGTTTTATGCTTCTCTTTTAAAGGCCAACATTAAGCACCATAGAGCATTGCAAGTCTCACCACCATCTTATAAAATTTTTCTTTTAGTCTAAACGATACTTTTCTATCACACAAAAGGCCCGAAGCATTCTCCGCTTCAACCAACCAACTTGAATTCTACTATTAACATCCCCATCTATATCACCATCATTTTAAACAACAGACCCGAGATATCAAAATCGTTCACACATTCTAATAATTTGATCACCCAAAATTTCACTTCTGTCACTAGAGCTACTACAATTATATTCCATGTATTCAATTTTAGTTCTACTCAAATGGAGGCCTTTTAATCATTTGATCACTTTGAACAATAAACCCGAGATATCTAAAAAGCTCACTCCTTTTAAAAATTTGATCACCATTGTTACAACTCTGCTACTAGATCTACTACTACTAAAAATATATTCCATATTTTTAGTTTTAGACCTACTCATACAAAAGCCTCTAGACTCTAATGTAGACTTCCATAATCCAAATTTATCTTGAAATCTATCCCTAGTCTTATCCATAAGAAAGATATAAGCAAAAATCACACACCAAGGTGCATCGTCCTGTAAACGTCAAGTAAGTGCATCCATAACCAAAGCAAAAAGATATGGGATTAAAGTCGTTCCCTGATGTAATCCAACTGAAATAATAAAATACTTCGTCAATTCTCCTTCTGTTCCAACATAAGTAACATCTCTAGCATACTTATCTTAATAACTTGAATATAAGTCATATCAATACATTTCTTATCTAGAACTCTTCAAAGAACTTCTCTTAGAACCTTATCGTAAACTTTTTATAAATAATTTAAATCATATGTAGATCCATCTTTACTCTCTCAATTATGAGAAATATTTGTATCACCTCTTAACCTATATTCAATTATTCTCTCTCATAATTTTAATATATGATGCATAACTAAATTCCTCTATAATTGGCACACTTTTGTGCATCCCCTTTATTTTTAAAAATGGAGACCAAAATACTCTTCCTCCACTTTTAAGGCATCATTTTAAATAATATTTAAAAGTTTAGTAAGTCAATAAATTGTAAATCTCCTAAAAATTTTCACATTTCTATTGGGATATCATCATATCTTACTGATTTTCCACCATTGATTTTCTTTAAAGTCTCCTCAATTTCTTTTCTACTAATGCGACGGTAAAAATAAAAAATATATATTATTATTAACGATATTAAGATCACTATTGTCGATCACATTTTCAAAAACTTCATTGAAATGTTCATTCAAATATCTCACTCACCCATGTTGAATTTCTTCAACAAAGAAAAGTGTTTTTTTATTTACATTTTTAATACACTTGAATTAAATCTTTATTTTTTTTCTTTATTTAGCTAATTTCTACATATATCTTTCACCATCTTATGTATCTAATATGTTATAAAAATTATTAAAAAATAGAATTTTTAACATCACAAACTATTCTCTTAAACTCCTTACGGGCAACCTTATTTTTTCCAGTTCTCTAAGCTTTTATATTTAAATCAAATTTTATAACAAAACTTCTTATATTTTAACTTTTCTTGGAAATTATGATTTCACCGCCAACTATTTTTATTTATAATTTTTTTTTAATTTTCAAATACATCTTTTGTTCGTCACTTATCTAATAGTGCTTGTTACATAATTTCATATAAAATTAGCCTCTTCATGAACAACCCAAATATTAAAATCATAAATTTTCTAAATAAAAATAATTTTATTTGTCTTTTAGGTACTTTTATATAATTCTATGACAATATTTCATTATATTTTTTATCTTCGAACTCGTCATCTTAAAATCTAGAGCTAATAATCAGTATTGGGTACTTGAATTTTCAATTGAAACGATCTTAAAATCTTTACATTCTCAGCGACCTCTTTTTTTCAATAAAAACAAGTCTTTATCATACTAAGTGGGGTGGTTACATGAATCCTTTTTCTTCATTGCGCCCTATTGAGTGACATATTTTTATTTAATTCTAATAAATTAAGATCATTTTTTATATAATATGCCCAAATTTTTTTAGGTCTACCTCTGTCTTTCTTAACATAAGTCGAATCTAAAACATCTACTCTCCTAACCGGATCATCAGATGGTCGACATTTAATGTGATTAAAGCATCTAAGGCGACTCTCTCTAATTTTGTCCGCCATTGGAGCTACACCAACCCTATCACGGATAAATTCATTTCACATTTTGTCTCCAATTGTAAAGTCACTCATCCACCTAAGCATTCTCATCTCGGCAACACTTAATTTAGTCTTATGCTTCTCTTTTAAAGGCCAACATTCAACGCAATAAAGCATTGGAGGTCTCACCATTATCTTATAAAATTTTCCTTTCAGTCTAAGTAGTACTTTTCTATCACACAATAGGCCCGTTCATCCACTTCAACCAACCCACCTAAATTCTACTAATAACATCCCCATCTATATCACCATCACTTTGAACCATAGATAAAATAATCTTTTTTTCTCATAAGAAAATAATCAATTTGTGTTTTATTATATCCATTATCCATTTTTATAAGTAAAAATATGCTCATCTCCTTTCTAAAAATATAATATAAGAATTAATAAAATAATAAGCTAAAGCAAAAACTAATATGATTTTATTTTCTTTATTAATCACTCTAAAATCATAACCACCATGAATATTTTTAAGAACTTCCACCACTCTACAAATATGTTCATTGAAATCTCCTCCAATAAAAATTTTAATTATTGACCACATAATAAAAATTTAACAAAAATTTGGAACTCTCAAAAAATCACATGTCGATTAGGATTCATAATGAAAAAAGAAATCCCGTTACATATTTGACTAAAATCAACCACTTCAAAAGCCAGTGATGAACTATTTAGAAAAAAAAAAAAGTAATTCACAAAATAATGAAAATTAAGGCCTCAGGTTAGTGCAAGTATATGACTTTCTCCGAAAATTGGCAGCCACCCTTACACCACATTCAAAAAAATCAAGACACGAGTAAGCAGTCAACATTAAACATGAACTTGAGTATTCATCAAGCAAAAATGTTCCCGATCAATAAATTATAAATTTCTATTTATAACCACATATCCTCCCAAAAATATAAGAAAAATATCATTAGACATATCAATAAACAAACCCAAAACCAAAGGCACCATAAGGCATCACTCAAATCTCATCAAAAATTAAAAATAATAAATAATTAATAAATAAATAAACTTGAAACTATTTTCAAGACCCTAACAAGTTGTGTCAGCTCCCACGATTTCATCAAAGCCTATGCTTGTTTCTCTCATATTGCATTATGTGATTCATGAGTTGATACCTCCATAATCAGCACTATATTGAACATCATATTTATTCTTAAATATATCTAAACTCTCCTAAATCTTATCGGATGATTTAATAAAACTATTCATCTTATCCTATATCAAGTTTGACTCAACTAAGGAATTTCAATTTGCTCGCCCTAGCAATAATTCTTTTTAATTATTTTCTTTATATTCTTAAGATATATCCATAACTACAATTCTACATTACATCATCAAACTCTCTCCTAGAGTTACCTCAATTACCTCCTTATCTTAGCAAGAAAGTTTTTCTTTTCTTTTCTCGAGTAAAGAAAATTTTTGGTGGTTCAACTTCTGATAGTTAAGTTCTTCTGGTATTTTTAATGAATTGAGCCAAAAAAAATTATTTCTAACAACATAGATAAATAACACACAAAACAAAGAAACTAGTAGTGAGCGGCAAAATGCATACATAAAACAAAATAACCAAGCAGCAACAAAATATTTGTTCAAGTAACAAAGCACATTTACTTCCAGCTGTTAACACCCGCGAACATGATCAAATTACGAGTAATCACCATACATAATTTGGCAATAAAGCTGAAATTGATAGCTTTTGAAGTACGTATTAAGCATACCATCATCAGGACTTTGGCAAAGAGGGCAATTGCAACTGCAGTGAGGACCATTGGCATGGTTGCAGTGTCGAGCCACCTGGACCCTTCAGGCACTTGCACGAAAAACTCATCACGACTAGGATTTCTACGCCTCTGTCGAAACCTCTCTCGCTCCATGATTCTCGATCTTAGGATATCAGATGGCATACCAGCAATTACAGTCTGGATTTGCTTCCTGGAACGGAGTATTGAGCGCATGAACGTCATTTAACCTCCCACTGCGAGAACAGTTGTGCTGTAACTCACTCGACGAAGGTTGAAAAACAGCTCTCCATGCATGTAATGCTCATTTGATTCACGGCTTGCCAAATTTAAAGCCTGTATAATTTAAAGCACTTAGAGTTCATGCAGTTTAAGAAAGCAAAGGATGTAAATGTATTGTATTTTGTTTTATCTAAAGCTATTTGATAGGATGTAAAGAAAACAGTGTGAAACTGCTTTAATATTCAATTTGGCTTGGAATTAAATATTATGAGACAATTTTTCATGCATGTTTTGGTGTACAGTTTATAATGCGGTACTCCACAAAAAGCAATAGCAAGTTTACCTTCCATGCAAATCTATATTTCTTGATACTCCGCCAAGAGTAAAGTATGATTATTCATTAAACATTGATCAACACTACAATTAAAATGCCTTTCAACGTTCTATTAAGATAAAAAAATAACAAAAAAATTTCATAGCAATTACTATCATCCGAGCACATAAAAACCATAAATCCAATGTTCATTTTTTTTAGTATAATAATGAGAAATATATGGGTATGAGTAAAAGCTCCCTTCTCCTTTGGAGGGCTTAGTGGCTCTTCCATAAAATAAGAATTGGTATCATGTCCAAACATTCATATACTTAGACAATGATACATATCTCCCTTCACAACCCACCACACCCTCATTCAATTTGGTAATAGAGCAAAAGAAGATTCACTTGCATACATGTGATAGAGAGCTTAGTGATTCCTCCATTTAACTGGGTAAATTTGATGAGTTTGTCCAAAATTCAATAATGGTATTCCTTACCTCGTTACTTTTTCCATGTCCATCCCTTTGGCTTCTACTTCCAAATTAAGTAAAATTTTATTTTGTTGTCTCTATTCATTTTGTATTTTTAATTTGGTGACCTTGATCACATTTGTTGAAAACAAGTAGTTATTATCTAGTTAATATAAAATATTTGCTTGATTTGTATCTTACATGTTTATTCATATCGCACCAGTATTTTCACCGCCATTTACATCCGTTTGACTATTCAGGAGGAATCTGTGAAGGAGAGAATCAAAATAGTAGGACATTGGCATAAAACTAGTTGCATTCTTTTTTTTTTTTTTTTTTTGAAAAGAATCTTGTCAGGAAATTATCTTTTTAAATTTTAATATTATCATTATGAACGATTAAAGCAATGATATTATGGGCCTTAATATAACTGTAAATTATTATGAGAAATCTTTGTAATACGACTTAACCTATGTTTAATTCCCTCTCTCATAATTTTAAAGTATGACGCATTAACTTTATTTCTCTATAATTTGCACACTCTTGTGCATCCACTTTATTCTTAAAAATAAGGACCAAAATACTCTTCCTCCACTCCTCAATTCTCTTTTTAGTTTTTAAAATAATATTAAAGAATTTAGTAAGCCAAAAAACTCCCAAGTCTCATAAATATTTTCACACTTCAATTGGGATATCATCAGATTCTACTGATTTTTCACACAAGTTTTTTTAAAACCTCTTCCACTTCTTTTTTTACTAATGCGACAGTAAAAATAAAATATTTTATTACCAGTAACGATATTAAGATCATTAAAATTGACGTATTATAAAAAATTTCGATGAAAATTTTATCAAAATAACTTACCCACTTATGTTGAATATATTCTTCTAAAAAAAATATTTTTTTATTTTCATCATTAAAACACTTTACTTGAGTTTGTTTGGCTAATTTATACATATATTTTTCACCCTCTTTAGTATCTAATCCATTATAAATACCATAAAAACAGAATTTTTAGCATCACAAATTATTCTCTTAGACTCCATATGGATCACTTTATATTTTTCTCAATTCTCGGAGCTTTTACATTTAAGTCAATTTTTATAACATAATTTTTTTTATTTTATCTTTTCTTCCACAATATTATTCTATCACCAACTATTTTGAATTATAAAAACTTTTTCCTTTTGATTATCCAAGCACATTTTTGCTACTTGCTTAATAGTGTTTGTTACTTTATCTAATATTAAATTTGTATAATCATGAACATCCCAAATCTTAAAATCTTAAAGTTTATTCATAAAATTAATTCTATTTGTGTCTTTTAGGTGCCCTCATTTAATTTTATAACAATGATTGCTAGTATTTTTTATCTTACAACTCTTCGTCTTAAAATCTAGAACTAATAATCGATGTTAAATAATTAAATTCTCAGTTGAAATGACCTTACAATCTTTACATTTTCGTCGATCTCTTCTTCTTATAAGAAAATAATCAATTTGTGTTTTATTCAATCCATTTTTATTAGTAATAATATGCTCATCTATTTTCTTAAATAAAATATTAGCAACAATAAAATTATAAGCTAAAGCAAAATCTAACATGTCTATACATTCTTCATTAACCACTTCAAAATCGTAAACATCATTAATATTTCTAAAATCTTCTACCACTTTACCAACATGTCCATTTAAATCTCCTCAAATAAAAACTCTTTCTTGATACTTGATACGCATTATAATTAAAATACACTTATAAACAAAAACTTTGAAATTCTATAAAATACATCTTTACTGGCATCCTGCAAATCCTATTTACATAATTTCTGCACCGGTTTGATGAATAAGTATTTTTTGTGAACCGTCAGAAGCTTTCAGTTCATTGGCATGGACCAACTAATAGAAGGCAATACAAAAGTCATCCTGGATCAAAAGTCCCTCTGAGCATTCTACTTTGGCTATCGAGGAGGGCAGACCAGTTTGTTGATAAGATGCTTTCAAAGACCCTACCAAATGTCTGATAGGAAGAACATGCTTTAGATATTAGTGATCATGGTTAGCATTTTTTTACTATTAAGTTTTAAGAGAAACCAAAATAAAGACAAGTGAATCAACTAATATACAGAACTTTTATGAATTTACTAGTCTAAACCTTAAATCACCTGAACTTCAGCTTCTTCGACCCAAATAATTTTCTTCAAAATGTTGAGTAGAATAAATTCGGAAGGACTCACAGCGTATGCAGGAGATTCGGTGGGTGGACGTCTTCAAATTATTATGCATTGATTTTCTAATCATTTATTCGGAGACATTCCCACTCACTGACTTCAAATGAATTTACAATATAATCTTTGCTATAAATAATCGTAAAAGAATTGAGATTCTGTGTTAAAAGTATATCATGGAAAATTTAATTCTTGAAATAACAAGAAAAAAAAAAGCCTGGAAAAAATTGATTCTAACTTTGAAGCAGAAGACAAGAAGATAAAGTATAGCCAAATCAATCAGACATATAGTCTAGAATCACGTCAAAATAACCATACACAATGCTTAAAACATGTCCGCAAGCATGTTTCTGAACATAATAATATCACATACCATACAACAATAACCATAAAGCAAGATAACCATCTTTTTCTACCATTAGGCACAAGATAATCAATAAAAGAGTATCACATACCTTATCCGGATTGGAGCACCAGAGAAGAGCAATTCTTTTTCTGCCTTCTTCCGAAATTTCCAATTCAAATACTTATAGAGCACAAACTTTCCGCAGCTGTTTAGTAGCAGGGATTTGAATAGAATTTAAGAAGGACTCAATCTAAATCCTTCCAAAAAGCAAAAATGACAACTTACAATCCTACAGAATCTCAAATCCCATTTCTCCTCCGTTTTACCTTAAATCCCGATTTTAATAAATCCAGTTGTAAGGCGGATTTACGGGACTTAGAGGAAAATAAGCACGGGTAGACGGACAGGTAGACAAGGGGAAAACGTGGGGGTCGGGGGAAGACGAGTGTCACCTTCGCTCCTTCTTCGTAAAAATTTTCTTCTCCTTCCCAACGCCGATGCTCCTCCACCTCTGGCCGAAGCGTTCGACCGAAAGGCAAGCGCCAAGCGGGCAAGCTTCGGTTCAGTACGGTCTAATGGGTGGAGAGATATATTTTATTAATTGGAATATTAATTAAAAAGGTAAATGTACATAGGGGTGTAAACAAATCGAACACGAACGAACAGAACGAACAGAGCTTGTGTTCGTGTTCGATTCGTTTGAAATTTAATTTATTTGAAATAAATTCGTGTTTGAAATTATTCGTGAAGTCATTGTTCGTATTCATTTATTAACAAATGAGCCGAACACGAGTTGTTCGCATTTATTTATTAACAAATGAGCCGAACACGAGTTGTTCGCGAACGACGAACAAGTTTGACATCCCTAATATTAATATATATAAATAATATATTATATTAATTATATAATTTATATTATATAAATATATAATATTTATATTAGTATATTACTAATATAGTATATTAATATATTATTATTAATAATTTATTATATATTATAATTTATAAAATTTAATTTTTTAAAATATCATAACTTTAATTTTAAATTATTTTATATTTCAAATAATAACGATTCGAACACGAGCGAACACATCACTGTTCGTGTTTGGTTCGTTTAACTAACCAAAAAAAAAAATGTTCACGTTCGTCTCGTTCACTTCTCGAACGAATCGAACACGAACTCATTGACGAACAGAACACGAACTGTTCGCGAACAACGAGTTCTTTTGACAGCCCTAGATGTACATGTATACCACCTAAAATTATATATTTTACTTAACACCCCCAAAGTTTAATATAAGAAAACTTACACATATGGCATCGAAGCGCAATGTATTTACTTATCTCACTCTCAAATTTATACTTTTACATGATAAGCATCTACACCTATACATGAAAAGGTGAATTACATCATTTACATCTTTTCATACATAAGAAATGTATTTATCATATAAAAATTAAAGTTTAGGTGTGAGATAGATAACTGCATAAGAGTTACCGTCCTATGCATGTAAATTCTTCTTTATATAATAAAACCTTAATACCTGTTTGTTTTTATGCAGGATTGTTGCACGATTTAAGCTAAATCCTGACAAACAGCAAAAATTGCCCCTGTAAATCCGGATCTCCCGTAAATCCCAAAATGATGCTGATTCGTGATAATCATAGGAGGCAATTCGGGATTTATTAGCTTGGTTTAGTGAATTAGTCTGCTGTAAATCTTTAGTGGAGATTTGATAAAATTTTATGTTTAGTTTGAAAATTTATAAATACAATATAAAATTTAAATAAATTTGAGTTGTTCATTTTGTCTATCCGCCGCATACCAGCCCGTCGTCACTGTTCACCGCCACTAGTCGTTGGCATTTCTTCCAGCCACTGCCGCCTGTGGGCCGCCGCCACCACCAGCCATCATTGGTCTTCGGTTGCTGCCCACCGCACGAAGCTGCAGCCGTCCACCGCCCGCCGCCGCTCACCGCCTGCTACCTGCAACCTGCTGTCGGCACAGGTTGCCCTCCACATGCCGCCACCTACAACTGCCCCCCGTCATCACCCGCCACCTGTCGCCACTGCTGCCCCTGCCCAATGCCCGCCGCTCATCTCCGTCACCTGTCGCTGCTCACGGCTCCCAAGTAAATACATTATTTTTTTTCAATTTACTTCAAACAAAATAATATATATTATGTTTATTTTACAGTGAACAAATCCCATGTGAATCAATGGATTTTAGCATGCTATTAATGAATTTAGACATTGGATTTAACTTAAATTCAGATAAACATAAAAAAAAAATGAAATATAAAAATAATGCACCTTTAAATCAATTTTTTCATAAATTGGATTGTAAGCAAGTTTTAAAGAATTATTCTGTCGTTTGCTCGAGAAACTCGGATTTATCAGATTTAAGTAAGATACTTACTGCCACTAAATATAGGACGAGCGAAGAGGAAGAATGGCGGTAGCAAGCTTACCTTCCTCAATGGTTTATGGTAGGAGCGGAGCAGAAGGATGAGAAAGGAGGAGTTTTGGTGGTCTCTATAAGTCGTAATCTCGTCATTGTCTTCCCGGCTAGCTCTAATGGCGAATGTATCGTGAAGGTTAGTTCGTGAAAGCGATGTTTTTGGGCGAAATCCTTAGAGGAGTTACATAAACGAAAGTTTTGGACAAAAATTGGGAAGTTTGGGCAAAATTGTAAGAGGGGAACGATATAGGGGAGGGTTTCGAACGGGGAGGAGGAGGGAGATTGGTTTGTTGTTTTTATTTATTTATTATTTAAGTTAATTTTATTAATTTAATTGATTAATATTTAATAATTAGTTTTTATATTATCAAATTAATTATAATTAATAAAAGTTATGTGTAATTTTAATCGTTAATTAATAAATGAAAAATCTTTTACAGTTCTCAAGCTCTATGACTTAATGCTTTCGTTTCAATATTATTTAATATTTATTTTTATGTATTTAATAAATATTATCTTATTAAATTATTCTAAAACAATTTTTTTAGTACTTATCAATATTTACTTACAAACATACAAAATAATTGTCAAACTTAACTGGCTCAAAATTTAATAAATTTAAAATTACAAATTTTAATAATTACAATTTAACTCTAACCAAACAGCCCCGAAACTTCTCCCCTCATCAAATAAACCACTTCGTAAATTCCCCACTCGATTCGCCGTCTCCACGACCAGCACCTGCACTTCTACTTTTTCCATGGAATTCATAGAGCTCTCGCTCCGCTTCCCCCTTCTCAGCTCCGCTCTTTCACTCCGCAATAAACAAGCAGCTTGCCTTTCCTTCGCTCCGCAAGCAGCGAGCACCGCTCCAACCTTTTATTCGCAAGCAGCAAGCCACGCGTAGGGCCGCTCTGGCGTTCGATCTGCAAGCAGCGACCATTGCTCCCTTTCTCACAGGAATAGGCAAATAGGAGAACAGTTTCCGCCCTCCGTAGATCTCTTTGTGCGCTTGGTGCTGAAAAACCAAGTAAGTTCCGGCTCCCGTCGCTTGTTGCTTGTTTATTTTGGCTATTGTTTTACCTTCCCTAACCTTGGGCACTCGTTGTCTCATTCAGTATTTTGCTCCCATTAGGAATGGAAGGGTCAGGTCATTCACGAGAGCATGACAGTGGCGTTTCGCGAGCTCAAATGTTGAGCGATTCCCGTCCATGTCCACTCCGCTTTCTATCTGATCGTTATTTGATTTATGCCAAACACTGAAGGTACGCCATCTGTGGTAGAACTTATAGGATGGTCGATTTCCAACCATCACGAGCGTTTGTTTTTGCTATGCTGTATTAGAAATGGATCATTTTTTTTACTTTGCTCTTTACTGATGATTTTTAGGTGGTTGACATAAACTATAATAATTACATTACACTAATTTTTAAGCGGACAAAATGAGCCTAAACTTTTGCATAATATAACATATTTGTTAACTATGTTAATGAAAAGACCCAATCACGATGAAAAGTAATTGTGATGTATCTCAATAGAAACAAGGCGGTTGTGAAGTGCTGCCCTCTATATGACAAAATAGTTTTGATTGTCTATCAATTAAGAAATTGTGTTGCTGTAAATTAAAGTATGATATGTTTAAATAAAATGGCTGTAATGCTAATCATTTTTATCCTTTAGAAAAACAATAAAGGTTGCTTTTTTAATGTAATAATCATATGTAGCCATGTATTTTATATGATACTTTGCCACATATGAGGATCATATATGTCCAGACACATTCTGGACATCATTATTTCGCCATATTTGTCAACAATTGCATGAGATTCACATGGTTCAAATTGCTTAGGCACAAATCCAATATATTTACCATCACAAATCATATTTGTTCTATTACTACTTAGATGTATCTTATAGGTATAATTGATGTATTTGATCGCTTAGAAAAAAAATGTCAAAAACCCACCTAAAATTAGATATATACTCTTCATAAGGTAGATTAATTTGTCTTGGAAATGGAGTTAGCTTTTTTTACTATGTTTTTTTTTTCTATTTACATTCACTATGTATTTCTCTTTGTTGATGATTTTGAGGCGTTTGGGAATTGCTCTTTGTCATTTTGTAATTTCAAAGCTATTATTGGAATTTAAGAGGTGATTAGTTTATGTTGTTTTTGCTCGTTGAACTTCTTATTCGTAAACTGAATGAATGTTTAAGCATAAGTGTAACATTTTTCCAGAAATTTGAATTTATACTCACTTCAAACTCTCATTTAGCTTATGTTGAATTTTGCTTTGTTGATACATTCTTCAGCTTTTTCTGTTGGTACACGCTTTAAATTCTCAAAAAATTTCAAATTTACCATTCGAACTAAAGCTATTAGCAATAATTTTGAAGTAAAAATTTGAGGACGTGATAAAAGGAAAGTTATGGCTATGTGTGCACATCAAGGATGTTCTTGGAGCATACGTGCATTATCATGTGCAAATGGTGAGATATTTGAAGTTAGCAAATTAGATGGAGCACGCTCTTACCCTGGTGTAATAAAGTCGGAAATAAACATGTAACTTGCTCTTGGCCTCTTGGGTAGCCAATGAAGTACAAGACATTATGAAGAAATATCCAGATGTCCCTCTAAGATAAATTAATGATAGCTTTGATACGCCATCAACAAATCTCCATCATTCGGCATGAATTTCAAGGCATTACATTGATCTTGAGGCAATTTTTTGAGTAAGATACATTCAAACTTTGATTAAATATCATCCAGAATTTCAATTTCAACAAGCTTACCCTCAAACTGATCGGATCCACTAAACAGATCTAATGATTCCAAAATCAGTTCAATCTGAGTCAAATAAAGCTCCGATCAAGTCATTAAATTTTTTTGGAAGCTTTTCAGGCATATTTAGAAGGTTAGACAAATTCGAAATTTGAAAAGTTTTTAGTCAAATTGAGCACATCAGTAAGATGAATGAAATGAGCCATAAATCGCTCAATTCTGACTTCATTAAGACACTCAAATATCAATCGACCGACATCCAATCAAGTAAATCTCTCTGATTCATTCAATAAATAGTAATCTAGATTCCTTCTATAAATAGAGCGTTATTCCCTCTCTTGAAAGAAAAAGTAGACCCTAAGTAAGAGGGAGCGCAAAGTCTGGTGCAGAGGGAGCTAAAGTATACGATCCTGCACCGACGATCTGATGTACATCTCCCGCTTCTACAGTCACTAACCACCGTCGACCTCTTGCTCCTGCAACTGTTAACCAACACTAACCACGATCAGCCACATCACCTACAACCAACTCTCGCTCCTACAGCCATCAGCCAACCCTGGCCATCGCCACCTATGACTACTCCAGCTAACTCCGGGCGCCGCCACCTACGTCCAACCCTTGTTGCCGCTGTCTCTGTCCAACACTTGCTACTGCAGCCACCGTCGGCCACAAACGCCATCTCCGACCAACTCTGGCTTCCACTGTCGACGACCATCTTTGATTGCCACCACCTGCAACCAACTCTGGTTGTCACCGCTTCCAGGCAACTCCTAAGGGGCCATGATGGACTGCCACCAACTCTATGCAATGAAGTCTCTTATAAAGTAATAACGTGCACTACGAAATCTCAGTGCACATTGCAAAGTAATAACGGACCCCCACTGATAGTGCAATGATACCTCTCTAAGATAATGTAACAATATACTCTGAAGATGGTGACTTTCTCCAGACTCTTAAAGCTCTCTCTGTGCAACTCCTGATTCAGGTCCTTACGGTCTATGGACGTCATCACAACTCACCACTACAACTTATGCGACCAACTACAACCTACGTGGTCTACAACTTATGCAACTCTCGACTTCGGACTTACGACCTACAAATATCATCACAACTCACCACCACAGCTTACGTGATCAACTACAACTTCCATGGTCCACAGCTTGTGCAGTTTCCAACTATAGCTTCCACAGCCTATGGACTTCATCACAACTCACCACCTAATGACCAACTATGAAATATATGGTTCACAGCTTGTGCAGCTCCCAACTCTGACCCCTGCAATTTTAATCATCATCACAACTCACCATTATGACCTACGTGGTCCACAACTCGTGTAGCTCCTGACTCTAACATTCGTAGCTTACACAAGTCATCACAGCTTACCACTATGAACTTTATGGTTCATAACTCTTGCAGCTCTCGACTCCAACCCCCACGGCCTGCAGACGTCATCACAACTCATCACGACGACCCACATGACCAACTAAGGCTTACGTGGTTCATATCTCGTGCAACTCTCGACTTCAACCCTTGCGGTCTACGAATGCGAAAACATCTCACACTATAGCCTACATGATCAACTACGATCTATATGGTTCACAACTTGAGCAGCTTCTGACTCCGATCACCATGACCTATAGACATCTTCACAACTCATCATTGCGGCCTACATGATCAACTATGAGCTATGTAACCACAACTCATGCAACTCCCTACTTCGGTCATTGTGGTTTATAGATGTCATCGCAGCCCACCACTATGGCTTATGTGACCACTACGACCTAAATGGTCTTTAACTCATGCAGCTCCCAACTTGAGGCCTTGGAGCATACGGACATCATTACAGCCTGCCATTATTGCCTACATGGCCAACTACAACATATGTGGTCCACAGCTTGTGTAACTCCCAACTCCAGCCTCTACGACCTACGAACGTCATCGCAACTAACCACTATGACATATGCTACCAACTTCGGCAAACATGGTCCACACTTCGTGTAGCTCCAACTCTAAGCTCTCCAGCCTATTGATATTATCACAGCCCACCACCATGACCTATGTGATCTACTACCACCTACGTGGACTTTAGCTTGTACAACTCCCAACTCCGGCTTCTGTGCTCTATAGATGTCATCACAACCTGCAACTACGGCCTATGTGATTAACTATAGATTACTTGGTTTTCAGCTCGTGTAATTTCTGACTTTGGCTCTTGCAGCCTATGGATGTCATTGCAGCTCACTACTATGACTTACATGACTGATAATGACCTACGTGGTCGACGCCTCATGTGGCTGATGACTTTGACCCTTGCGACCTACGAATATCATCGCAGCTCGCCACAACGGCCTACATGACCAACTATAGCCTACATGGTCCACAATAGCCTACATGGTCCACAGCTCATGTAGCCCCCGACTCTGACCCTTGTGGTCTATGGATGTTATCACAACTCACCACTATGACCTACATGATTCACAACTCGTGCAGCTCCCGACTCTAGCCTTTGCAGCCTATGAACACCATCACAGCTCACCACTATGACCTCTATGACTAATTACAACCCATATAGCTCACAACTTATGCAACTTTCTACTACAAGCTTTGTATCCAACTAACATTCCTGAAGTGGTCACTTATGGTTCACACAGTCAACTACTACCATGGCTTTCAATCGTGACGTATACAACAAGCTGGCTCCGCGACCACCGCTTCCAACCTTCACAGGCCTCCATAGCAATCGACTAGGACTCTTCTATACTCTTACCACTGAGAACTACATTCATTGCTGCTAGATTATGTCTATTATCGATGAACCACTATTATACATCTACAATATTCATCTCTGTAACTTTATCTTCCCTAATTCAGGAGAAGAATGAACATGCACTCTAATCATTCTTAGTAAATTATTTCAACTGGGTTAGGTTTGTAGTTTTTTCCCCTTTGTAGGGTTTTCATGTAAAATTTGAGACGTTTCCTCCTGCTTATTTCTTTTTAATTATCTGAGAGTGTGCTAGTTTTCCATTCAATGCTTAGAAGATAATTCATTACTTTATTGTCGCGGACCTGTCGGTATGTATTAAGCTTGGAGATGAATTATGGATTATCACTTCCTTACATGAAAATTTGGCTCTCAAGAGAGGTAGTCCGAGACATAATTTTTTATTTATGAATGAAAATTATAACTGGGTTCTCACATTTGGAGTAGAGCTCGTTAACAGAATTCTAGGTTCACATATTACACACATCTTTGATAATTCTAGTTGTTCATTCAAGAGAGTTTTGTTAGCTTTAAAGTTAGCATATATAATTTTTTAGTTGGTTGTAGGCATCTAGAGGGCCTCAATGATTGTTACTTAAATCTAAGTATTTGAGAGTGTGATTACCTACAAACACACTTGATGGTAATAATTGTCTTTTCACATTAGCATTTATTGTTATTGAAGGAAAATCAAAGAAAACATGGTAATAATTTTTTGGGGGAGACACTAGCTTATGAGCTGCATCCATTAACCTTCATATTAAATATGAAAAAAGGGATTGAGGAGTTGTTGGTTTTATTTATTTCTTTATTTTTTTTGTTTTGAAGAGGGTTTTGATTCTAAAAATATAAGACCGAACATATCTCGAATATTTAGTTGCTTAAATAATCGAACACGACATTATAAGTGATGTATTATCTTGAAGTATGAGATTATCACTTAATAATGTGTTCAATTATTTAAACTAGAAAATTTATGATATTTGTTTGGTCTGCGAAAATACCAACATATCTTTCCCTTATCGAATACGAAGATTAGATAGGTTTAGATTATCTGTATTACTAATTTTTTTATTGGCGTAAGCCTCTGTACTTAATTATATCTCAAGCGACCGAAATTACTTAAGAAAAATCTCGATTAAGATTGGGATTGTCTTAATGAATTCAAAGTTTAATTTCTACGATTGATTATAGGAAAATTAAATAGAAAGTTTCCACGATTGATTATAGGAATATTAAATGGGAAAAACTCAATGTGGAACCTAAAAGAATGAAAAGTAAGAGACGTCGAAGATATCAAGAAAACCTCAGTGACATATCAAACTAACATATGGTTTGACTTTACATCTTTGAAAGAACAACTATTTGATTTTTTATTCCTGCAATTTATTTAGAAATTTAAAACTTATATTCCACGATTTAAGATAGTGAGAAAGCCCATGAATGTGAGGATTTATGTACTAGACGAACAACCTCAGAATCCTAAGACTAAATTGATGTTCACCGAATAAAGTGAAACATCGAAGCCTAGTCCAAACAAAGAAAACACAGATTATTATCTACTCGTCCTAAACATTCAGTCTAACGAAGCAATCTACCTTAACCAAATATTTCTGACGAGCAAGCCATTCTATTCAGGTATGACGTAACGAAGCCTCTTGCAGCACAGTACGAGTTGTTTCTAGAAGATTTTGATGTTTGCATTCAACGACACAATTCTATCCGGGTGTGTAAGGACAAGTTTATGATGAGAAATGCCATATTTTTTAAGAAAAGCTTGAAGTTATGATTAAGATACTCACCCCACCCGTCAATACTTAGAATTTTAAATTTTTGGTTAAGCAGAGTATGAGTTGCTTAAACTTTATAAATTTTTTCAGAGTTTTATTTTTATGTTTGAGTAAGTAAATTCAAGAAAACATGAGTAATCGTCTACGAAGACAACATAATATCTAAAGATTGCAAAGAAGAAATTGGGGATGGGCCCCTTACATCAGAAAGTATTATATGTAGTGGATGAGATGCTTGAAAAGTAGAAGCCATGAAAGGTAATTTGTGACTCTTGGTGAAGTGACATGAAGTACAATTGAATTTCTAAAGGTGATGACAAAGAGACGAATAAGGGATCGTTGAACTTGATGACTAGGATGACCGAATCTTTTATGCCAGAGATTGGTACTTATTGAAGAGTGAGTAGAGCAAGATATCACTTTGAAGTGGGACCCAATGAAGGAATGGGATAAAGTCCTTACATTCATGGTCCTTCAAGAATTTTTTGGCTGGTCTATAAATTCTTGATAGCATATCCATTAACCGTGAAAATAATAGCATAGGAGTTAGTAGAAGTTTATGAACTAATAAAAATTGTAAGGAAGATTAGGTACATAATGAAAATTTGTTAGTAATAACTTACGTGTCGAAATTGGTAGAAGTCCTTATCAGTGTTAGCGATGGAGAGTTAATGTCCATTATCGATTGTGATATTGGTGTCTGTGGTATATTATTGAGATTGTGAGATGTGATTTGAATCAGCCGTGAGGTGCTCAGAAGCTCCGCTGTCCGGGTACTAAGAATTATTTGAATAAGATTTAGAATCAATGATTAGAGTCATTAAATATTGATAATTTTTGTCATGACGATGCCAACACTTAAGAACGGAGTGTCCGGGCTTGTTGCAAATCTGGCATATACTTTTAATTTTTTTGCGGTGGATATAGGGGGTCGTGACCTGGGGTCAACAATTGAAGTATTGTTGGGCCGAGAGTTGCTGTCTCAGTTGGGCCGAAAGGTTGTGTCAATAATTAAGTTGGAATATGAATTCCAAAATTTGCCTGTGTCATGTGATGACAGGAGTGCAGTGTGGTGGGCATGTTGGGAGTCATTGGTCATGTCTTGGGCAAGTGTGAGTTCCTCAAAGATCATCTTCTTTGAGAGGTTGGATATTGGCACGAATAGCAGTCTTGAAGGCAGGATAATGAATGAATATTGTTAAGACTGTTGAGGATTATGTCTTCAAAAGAAGGGCCGCCCCTGCAGATCGACCCTCCGTTTGATGTCCGATAGATATTGAGTCATGGTTTTGCCTTGCATGTTAAGGTGTGGAGCTCGTACTTGATTTGAAGTATTCTTGACTGGTTGGTTGATTGAAGACGACGATCGTTAGTATGTTAAATAGCCGCACGTGTCAATATTAAGAACATAGCAAGAATTGAGGGGGAGATAATTGAATAGATGGCAGCAGCAAGATTTTGGTCAATTATCATCCATTGAGTATAATCGGGGCTGGCAACCTCACCGCCGGAAGGATCAACAACGGTGCAGGATGGTGGAAATAATTTTCAGTCAAGAAGCCCTCGTACTCTTTAGCTTTGAATAACTTCATGACTTGAGCGTTCAGTGTGAGATGATTTTCTGTATTTAGAGGGTTGGAAATGTTGTTCTTGATGTGGGTGATGAGGAACTGAAGTTTGGTGGGAATTGGGTGATCATGAGGTAGAGAATTAGGGATGGCAGGGGGAGTAGCGATGTTGGCTAAAGAGCTGGAGACGGGATTCATAGTGTGGGTAAGCAAGGGGCTCTGATATCATGTTAAAATTTTGAGCTATCTTGGAATGCAGTAGGAAGGAAAATATAATACAGAAGAGAGAAAAAATAACAAGAACCTAGAAAGGCTCAGAATATCAAGACAAAGAAAACCATCTTTCTTTTTATCCGAAGCTCAGTAACACAGATAATCATACATAAACGAAACCTGGGTAAGGTTTACCCTAGGAATAAGAAAACAAATGTGGTCCAAAAACAGAAATGCCAACGTAGATATAGCTCAGAAATTGAGTGGAAGACAAGTTGAAACCAACCTATACCTTACCTCCTCAAGCAGCAAAGGAGGATGCGACATGTCATGCAGGTATCATATTATACAGTTTTTAAAGACCATAGTTACAATATTTGTAAAAATGATAAAAAAATCAACAATATAGTGACCGCGAGCACAGCAGCCTCACTCCATAAAAGACAAGCAATTCTTCTCCTAAATTATAATGCTTAATCACACCATAGTATCTAATCACAGTTTCGTCGCTCGATATGAAGCCATAAAAGTAGAAAATGGCAGTATTCTCAGTCTTTGCAGCAGCGGTAGAGCACAAACTTCTCCATGGGACGCTTGCACTGCGCACAAATCACCTTCTCCTTGATTTGTTGCGTGTCACCTGGGAGAATGAGACGCGTGCAATGCTCATGGGTGTGGTAAGGAAGCAGCGCCTTGGCGAGTGCCGGGATAAACCCCTCATTCTCAACATTCTCCTTCCATAAATCATAGTTCAATAAACAGTCATACAGCGTCTTGCCATGCGACTTTAAGATATCAAAAGACCTGTGGCTGATGACTGCCCATCCCTCATCACTTCCATCGAAACTGAGCATTTGCATTACTTCTTGCATGATTGGGTCATCCTCAATGCTTCTGCCACGCTGCATCTTGGAGTGCCACATGCTCTCCAAACGCACCCAAAAGAACCACACCATTGCTGGATCCTCCCAGTAGTTACTTAGCTTTTCAGCCTTGATGGCTGCTATTGCCTTCTTCACCCCCTTTGGGTTGCTCTTGCCTACATAAACCATCTCTATGGGAACCCTGGCATCATGCGCCACTTGCCTCAGGAGCTTTGTGAATTTCCTGATCCATTCAATGTCATCTCCACCATAGAGGCAAACATGCTGCTCTTCCCTTACCCAGTTCAGAATGGCAGGGTCGATCTCATCGACTAGGAGCTCGAGCTTCCATGTCTCTTCCTTCCACAAAGCATCCTCCCTGCTACTGGTAAAAGGATAGGCCAGGCTTCCCCATATCCATATCATGTGAAGAGCGTTGGGGCAAACGAGCTTTCCTTGGGGATCTAGGACCACCAGAATAGGCTTCTTATCAAAATGCCAAACTTCCCTGATGTACTTGATAACTGCAGGCTGGAGATGTGAGGGATGGTGCAGTGTGTACCATGGCATATTTGAGACTAAACGATTGAAATCTGCTTCTCTGTTCTCAGTCCAGGGACGATGTCTATCAGTGACAGCCAACCAGACGACTTCATACTGTCGTTCAACCTTTCCATGGTGTGTGTCATTATATATCTGTATGAGAACGAAGAGCTCCTCAGGGCTGATATCGAGGTCACTGATGAAAAGCAGTACAATTTTTCTTCTCAGAACGTCAAGTCCAACTCTCTTCTTTGTCAAGCCATCAAAGAGGGGAAGATCATCCTTGGAGTATAAGAGTGCCCTGAGGATTTTCATGTTATCAATGTGGATTGTTTCAAAAAGCCGAACCAGTGTTTGATAGGCTTCAAGGTCCCTCTTTTCATCTACATGATTCAGTTAATTGGTTATGTTCGATTAGATATAAATGAACATATTTAAATGTTTGAGCTTTTCCAGAGTTGCTTAGAACTTTACCAATGTGTTTATGGCAAAGTTCAAGTTGCTTAGTGAGGTGCCCATGAATGTTGGCAAGTTTATGAGCTATTGTGGAGAGCTCCCATGCCTCTGTTGTTGAGCTGATATGCCTGAAAGGACCATAATCATTAGGGTAAGTTCATCAACTAAAATATTGGGTCATTTTTTAAAAATTTTGAAACCACTGAAGATGGATGTTGATCCCCTAACCAATTAATTAATGCTCATTTGTAATTAATGCTCATTTGTAGTTAATAGTTATTGGGTTAATGATTGAGCTTACTCATGGCCAATGCCAATGAGCGCAATGGTCTGAGAGATGCAGGCAACGGCACCTCGAACCACCCAATAGACAGCAGTTGGAATATGAGTCATGGCAGCTCCCATTTGTGGGGATTCTGGGGAGATGTACTCAGAAGGAAGTTCAGTAAACTCAATGATGCACTTTGTGACATCGAGCATGACTCTGATGAGGTTGTTAATGGCGTCAAATCTAGGCTTGAGGACATTTGTATGTTCAATGATGTCCGGAACCTGCTTAAGGAGTGCCAAAGATTTGGCTAAGGGGTTTGCACTGTGGAGCTGCGCTGTCAGCCAAAACTCACCATAGTTCACCGCCAGTGCAGCCAAGGCCATAACTGCTTTTGCATCCCATGTATAGGTTGATAAAACTTGGAACACGGCCATAGTTGTTGTGTGGGCTTCGCCGCCACCCGAGCACTTGTATGTCACCTAAAGAACCAATAGAAAATACTGTTCAGCAAATCAGCCTTTCTTTGGAACTATGCAGGACATCACCTCAATCCTATAGAATTCATTAGATTATTTTTTTTTTGAAAAAAACAATCTAGAGAATTCTATAGGAGATACGTGAATTCCTTAGATTTTGATTGAAGTTTATTGAACTACAAATATCCTTGCTAATGTCCAGTGAAAAATTGCAGGTCAGTTAAATTGTAGAAAAGCATTTCAAGTTTGGTTAGGATTAGGGGTGTAGACGAGTCGAGTGGAGCTCGAGCCACCCTTAATATGAGCTTGAGCTTAATCAATTAATCGAGTTAAATTTGGGCTCAAGCTTAAGTTAACTAGCTCAAGCCGTCTTGTTTATTATGAAATAAAGGAAATAATATTAATTTAAGCTAATTTTATAATAAAATAACAAATCAAACTAGCAATAATAAGATAAATAAAAGAAATCACTTGACATAAGATAGAAAATATCATATTTAAACCATTTTTTATAATTTAAAAATAAAATCTAAAATTTAATATATTTTGAATATAATTAATATTAATATTTTTTTTTTAAATGAGCTCAAAGTTCGAGTTGGAGTTGACTTGAGTTTGGCTTATTAGCTCATCGAGTTCAGTTCATCAATCATTTATCAAATGAAGTTTGAGCCCGCTCACGAGCCTGCTTGCCTTAGTTACACAATGACTTGTATAAAGTTAAACTGGGAAGAATAAAAATGAAGATATGGTATCATTACTAATAACCTCATAGGTGATCCTGTGAACGGTGAAAGCAATTGCCTCTAGCATTAAGGTTAGTCCAGTCTGGTTTGCGCCATCATGAACATCCGCCTCCAGGTGTGCTTGGGACATCAGCGCTGTCTGCAGAATAGCACCAATCAAAACCATTCAACAACCGAAGCAGTGTTATGACTAACCATTGATGAACAAGAAAAAGTTTTGGCTGTCATGTATACAGAGAAAAATAGTTAGCCAATCAAATGGTACCATAACGAAGGTAGGCGTGGTCCGGCGGAAGACATCCTCGACCACATGGAGTATGGGGCGCACATCTATGTCGCGTCCCTCAGGTTTGTGTGTCTCGTGCATCTGTTTCAGAACAATGCTATCGTCCGACGACGCAAAGAGGTGGCGGTCTCCCTTTATTGAATGCATTTTTTGGGCTGTTGTTGTTGCTGTTAACGCCATGGCTACTTTGCAAACTGGTTGGTTTAAGAGATGTGGCAAGGTGGCGCTTAAATATGCAGGGAGGGGGAAACAAGAGGAATAAAGGCCAAGTGATTTCAGTACCTTGCTTGAGAACAAGGGCTGCTTTATGGCCTATCAATGGAGCTTCTGGCTTGGTGGGGCTCTTCTTAATCCATTGCTTTGAGAAGTAGAGTGGCATAGCCAGAATCTTAATGTAGAAAGAAGGACAAGGGAACATGGTACCAGAATAGAATGTGATTATTAGTCTCATGACTCAGCCTGCTGTCATTCTTTGCTTGTGAGTTGGGGTAGTGCCAGATAAGGATGAAGATATTCATTACTGGCTTGTATGGTATTGAATTTATTTGATTCCTACTGCTTTTCTTTAAAGAGATGATCCTTTGGATGTGTATTGTATGTTATTTGTTTTCTTTATTCTTGATATGTGACATTGTTCTCTAATATGCTACCTTTCATCTGTAACTATTTTGGAAATAGTCTCTGTTAGATTAACCGATTGATATGATTGTTGTCTATTTACTTAATTCTCTTGCATTATCATCAATTACAACATTATGATTTCATATGATGTCAGCATGCTTATCTTAAACATAGACCTGTTCAGATCCATATTATTGATCCTTATTTCTTAGCTTAAATCATGTAGTTGATGGGTATCAGTCTATTAATGTGATTTGCTTGAAGTAACATTTTAGCATTCAATCCTCCAAACAAATGTCATTGTTGACTCGCATCAGTGGAACCAAGTAGGGGTTTAATAATTATTTGATAGTTATTTTAAATAGTTTATCATAAAGATTGTAATTTTCTCATTAAATACAGTAGTGTTATAAAATACTTTCCAAAATATTTTATATAAATCTCCCAAAATTCATAAAAAAATTCTCTTTTCATACAAAATTTAGAAATTTATATTGGTTGAAATTTGTAATGCAAAATCTTCTTCAAAATTTAAGAAAAACATGATGTTATCTTTATTCCATAAGGTGGATTATTTTATGAGAAATGATATATATATATATATATATCATTACAAAGTTGATGGTTTTATAGTCACTTTAAATTCAAATCACAAGAGATAAATAACAAATTTAACAATCACATTGTAGAATTATTTATTCTTGACTTTGCATTGAATATTCGAGATAATTTGTTAACTTGCAAATAAATTTTGTCCTAGAGAATTTAGAAAGACATAAAAGCTATACTTGAATATTCAAATTAATCATTTTTAATTAAAATTCATGTGTATAAAAAATTTTTAGAATTTCTCTCTATATATTTTTTATTTATGTCAAATATTTGCTTAGATAATTTATATTAAACATTGGCTAAAATAAGAAATTAGTTATATATCATCTTATTAATCATTCAAGTAGATTAATCTTGATATTATTAGTTTTAATAAAATTTGTTGAACATGTATTTTTCAATTATGAAGATTGTCAAAATAATATTATAAAATTAAATGTAATATGATTATTTGCTTGTTTATTGGTATTTTATATTAAAAATGATATTGTAATGAGTATCTTTTCGGTATCGAAGAAGTGTTCGAACATAATTTAAGACGTGTTCATAAAATTTATGTTAAAAAGAGATTTTATTATTTTATGAGTTTTTCTTAGTTTTTCATTCATTCAATCTTATTTGATTATTTTTAAAATTTAAATTTAAATTTTGATTTATTTTAGTTTTTTTTTTCCCTATCTCTTTAAATTTTAGCATTGCCACTTTTGACCATGAAGATTTCCAGTAGTTGAGTGACCTCTTCTGCATAATAATTGTTGAAGTTGTCACTTGAGGAATAATAGTGAATGATTTGATAGACTCATGTGAGTAGATTATTGAAATCCACAAATATTTTAAAAGGAATTTACAAGCATATCACACTATTCATATATATTTTCATGTTGATGTCATAAACATATGCATGAAAGTATATCTTATTTTAAAAAAATTAATAATAATGAAAGTTTAAATGCAAAAACTAGCCCATTCATAAAAAAAGCTTCTTTAGATCCACTTGTCATCGTCGAGTTCCTTGTCGAAAGCCTACACTTTGTGCTTCATATCATAAACTAGGAATCCTCTTTTATTGGAAATACAATACGTTGTGAGTCTAGATTACAGTCTTATTTTGTTGGACTCAGTCTCCATATTTGGTTCAATTTTATACCCAAGACTCAGAAATCATGTTTAAATATTGTTCTAAACTTGTGACAGCCCGAGTCCTTATCCATCAAGTTATTATCTGCTTTAGTATAAGGCTCTCATAGTTTTGTCCAATTGATATAACTTTCTAGGTCGCCTATCTTGAGAGTTCTCCTACAAAAGCACACTTAACTTTGGAGTTTCTAATGAGATTCCAACTGTTACAGCAAAAAAAGCACCTTGATGTTTAATAGCTTAGCTTCATTCTAATTAAAGAATTTCACAATTTGCCTCACTTAAGTTGAATGATATCCATGTTAGTTTTCTTAGCTCATAATCATCCACCAAATATGTATTTTTGTTTTCAAACTGGTGTAATGCTCGGATATCATTTATAATAGGTCGAACTCCCATCCATCGAGATATTGTCTTTTTTTGTCTAATGGACTCACTATCTTGTCCCATTAGTATAACTTCTTATGAGATCACCCATCTCAAGAATGCTCCCGCATGAGCATGTTGAGTGAAAAAAAACATATAAAAAATACCAAAAAATATTATTGTTATCTCTTATTTATATACAATTTATGCATACTTATGGATATAGTGTATAAGATAACTAACAAGAATAACAGACAGAAAGATTTGTTGAAGTTTATTGTAGCGCCACAACGCCAACTATTAGCTTGTAATCGCTAAGGAAGAAACCTAAAGTGAATTTTTTTCTTGAGAGTTCAATGCTTAGACATAATTTATATAGAATCATAACACCACAAGTAACGCCACAACACTTGAAGTTGGCACATATATGACATTCGAATACTGAAGGATAAGACCGATCCAACACCACAGTGAGAATATTTTTAGTGTTGCACTACCATCGATGCCAGTCCCAAATATTAAAAGACAAATAAGACAATGTCAAATCGCCATAAACCTATAATCATAGTGACACCAGCCAGTGCCTCAAGCACAAGAATATATGTGATGTCCTGATGTCAAGATGTCATGGCTTTAGAGTGGCAGTAAAATGACCCCAACAAAACAATTATTCCTCCAAAAATTCAAATTCTTGTGGAGAAAGACAATTAGCAAAAGAGAACTTACTTATGTGAAGTGCAAAAGAGCGTGTAGAAGTGATGCAATAGGGGAAGTCTAGGGAGTGTCAAGTAGTGAGTTGTTAGTGTGTGTTTAGTGAGTAAGTACATTGTAAAGTGTGTGAGAGTGAATTTTAGTTGGTTTGGAAGATCAAAGAGAATAAATTAAATGAAGAATATGAAGATTGATGCAATTGTAAGTTCCTTTGTTCAATCTCTTGCTTCTCTTTTTTCAACAGTTATAAACTAGATTTATTTTGGTGAAATGATTTATTTTTGTGCTTTATTTATAGAAAAATTTTAAGGTAAGTTCTTCTCCTATGAATTTATAACTTTTAAAACGAATGTGGTGAATTAGGTTTGATAGTTTTAAAATATAAAAAGGACACTGTTGAATCATCCTACTTAGTTTTCCATTAATTAGTGGACATACTATGTTTAAGATCTAGTGTGAACTTGAGATATTGAAATTATCATTCTTTGCATATGGTGTTCAAAACTTTGCTTTTGGAGAATACACATATTGCTCATAAATTTTTGCAATTACTAAGGGGTATTTACTTATTCAATTTTTGGTACCATTATGAGCATAGTCATTTGGCTTTAGAGTTTTGAAAATTAGTGTTTTATGTTATCAACAAAGGATTTAAACCATATTTTTTATCTGATTGATACTTATTTAAACAATTTTTACTTGTTCGTTATCAATTAAAAAATCATAGGAGATTATTACATTTTGAAATTTTATTAAAATTAGAAAATGAAAAATTACCTTTTCAAAAGAAGCAATTCTTTGAATATAAATTACGGTAATTGAGCTATTGCATGGCTTTAAGTTACATTCACCTTTAATCTTCATGGGAATGATTTTGGATAAACTTGAGCACAAAGTATTTTGAGCTATTAAGGAATGCAACTTTAATTTGAAAGATGCTAAGAGTAAAATACTGCTATAATTGAATAAGTTTGATAAAATTCGACTTAAAGCACATAAAATGCTTGGATTTATGAGGAAAATACTAAGAATGACATGATTGTAAGCTTCAAATGAAAGAATTTATCCTACTATTCAATTTCAGATTAAAATTACTTATAAGAAATTAAAATCTAAGTGATAATGACCATTTAGTGTAGTTAAAGTATACTTTTATGGGGTAGTAGAACTTTGGGGCCCATACTCACCCCACAATTTTAAAGTCATTTGCTAGAGATGAAACTCTACCTTGGTAGTGATTTGGGTAGGAATATGAAGATTATAAATGTTTTTAATAAAGAGTCATGTGCCAATGTTCTAGTTAAAAAGCATGCCACATGGACTAAATTGTGGCATTACTTGGATGGTTGGAAAACCCACCATGTGCCATGACACTAAAAACTCACAAACTATGGGAATGATAGCAGCATTCGATTTTGCCACAAAAATCTTCCTAACTTTTATGTATTATAAAACCTTTGTGAGAGGTAAGTGGGTTCTATTTGATATTGTATTAATCAATGTTGTATATAACTTGTCAGGCAACCCCGTTGATCAATATACTAAATGATAATTAGCCCATTTATAATGAAATCTTATGAGATCTAACAAAGATCGATTTTGGAGTCCAATGGAAATGCATGAGGAGAAAATAATCAATTTTCTTGTCAACGCATTAACCTTGGAAACCAAAGCCTAGCACTCTTTCAGATCCATCATGTCGTTACTAAGCACATATGTGAGTGAGGTAACTAAGGATTTTACTACTTTAAATTATGCAACTCAAAAGCAATTGATTATCGATGTTGGTCGTGTAATCACGAATTCTATCTTATATATGACTCGAAGGAGCAGAACCGTAGGGATCATCCACACATCACTCATATATGCTCTCTATATGATTGTTGGACTTTTGGAAGACAAGTGTAACAATAAAATTTTCTCCTAGAGCACAATCACTAAGAAGAGCATTCACTCTTGTAAGAGCTTTGAAGATTTTGCTCCAATAAAATTGAATGTTCTTCGTCCTCCCGTCCCTGATCACTTTCTGAGCAAGTTAAAGATCTTAGAAGTGATGTTGCCTCCCT